ATATTTTCAAAACATGTTTTTCAAAATTCCACCAACACAACTTAGTTTTTATAACTATATTTTCATATCATGTGTATTTTTTATGATTCCAAATATTATTATTTTGATTACTATTTCTCTTAACATATATTGAATATATTGCTTTTATTATTTATGTGTATTAACATTTCAGGAAAATCATACTTCAGACTATTGAAGACTTTAAATCAGATTAGATTAGGGTTCATTCTAAATGGTGTATATATTTTATATTTTTATTGAGTCTAAGAGAGTGTGATTGTAATTGGGTAATCGTGCACACACACACTTGGAGAGTGTTAAAACTTAAATTTTTTTTAAACTAATCATACTGTATTATATTGTATGGGATAATTTGTTCAATTATTTTCTCTAGAAAGTAGTTAATTGAATCATGGATGAAAAAATTCTAAGTACTGTTCATACAATGTTGGCTTCATACAGATGACGTTTAGAGTATGAAATTGATGTGAACATTTTTGTCCATACAAATAGGAAAATTTTTTGAATTGCTCATCCAGGACGTTCTAAACTTTATACAAATGATGTCCAAAGTATGAAATTGATGCGAACATTTTCATCCATATAAACAAGAATTTTTTTTGAACTTTTCATCCAGGACGATCTGAACTTCATACAGACAACATTCAGAGTATGAAATTATACGATATTTTTTTCATCTAGATGAATAGGAAAGTTTTTATAATAGTTCATATAGTATGATATCAATTTCATAATGTATGATCAGCGTGTATGAAAATGTTTCATACAAGATTATATGAGCAAATTTTGAACTGTTCGTACGGGATGATCAACGATTGTATTGTATTATCATGGATGCTCAAAATTTAAATTAATAGTTTTTTGGATGGTTTTTTTGTGTCTTTCATATATATGGTTCTTAAAACTTACTTTGGAAGAATCCTTCTTCATTTCTCTTGTGAGCAAAAGTGTGAGAGTGATTTGGGAGATTGTTAGTGAAAGAGTTATTACAACTTGAGAGTCTAAGGGTTCATAAGATTACTCAAAGGTGAGAATCTCTTTATATTCTTTGCTAATATCTTCCTTACTTCTTTGAAGATGCTTGAGGGAAGATCTTTAAAGAAGATCTAATTCTCTAGCGACACCAGGAGGGTGTGAAAGGATGCTAGCTCCTTGCTGACACTTGGACAGTGTGAAAGGATGCTAGTTCTTTGTAGACACATGGAGAGTGTGAAAGG